GCCTTTTTTTTTTTTTTTTTTTTTTTTTTTTTTACTTTTTGCAGGTTCTACCGGGCTGACACAGCCTGGCAGTAGTCAGACTAACATGGCAACCAATTTTTTTTAAAAATATATATATATATTAAAATTGCTGCCGGCAGCAATTTTAATATATACAACAATAGTTTCATATGCCCCCTTGTCAGAGCAACATTCTTCCGACTAATTTTTTTCACCAATAATATGAGTAATTAGCCATAATTTTGGGACTAAATTAAAAAGTATGCCAAACATTAGGGGGATTGTGACAGCCCCACCTTCCCCTAAGGCGAACCAAAGGGGTTAGCGGACTGCCTGCCCAGCTCTCGCCAGGACTAACGGTTCAATTTACGTCGATCTATTACGTTTCGGAACTTACCATTGCGCACAAACAAGTCAAAATCACAAAATAAAAAAAAAACGAAAATCGAAGCCGAAATTTATCCAAACCACGGCCAAGCATATATATATACACTGGAAATCAACATTTACAAGCCAAACGGCAAACCAAGATATTCGTCTAGTTCATACATGTACCAAAAGCCATTTACACACCAAACATTGGTGGAAACAAAACACTTAGGGTTTTTACCCTCAAGGAGCTATTCAAAAATACATGTACAAGAGCTCAACTTGTCATCCAACTATCACAATCTTTTTCAAAAGTTTCATTTTCCTGTAAGGAAAACAAATGACACGGAATGAGCTAAAGCCCAGTGAGCAACTAACACAATAACAACCATTAGCATATAGCATAACCGATCACTTAAAGTACACAAATAAGCAATGAAGCAAAACGGTAAAAGGATACGGGCGGCTCTCAAGAGCCCATTTCCACGCTTGCAATCTTGATCCAACCTCATTGACTCTCCGTCAATGTTAAAAGTACCAAACCGTAGACCACCCTTTACTTCCAATCCTTCCACCTAACATACCCCAACCGAGCCCGCACTTCATTTCAGTAGTTTTGGTAATACTCGAGTATACCGGAACCAAGAGTCTCGTTACTACAAGGTTCCTCAGTACAGTTCCCGTGGCATGACAATTTTCACGACCAATCCCTCGCCGGCTCGATCCAATTGACTACCAAACGGGGTTGAGCTCAGTAATACAGTAAGGCCGTTGGACATTCGTCCAAACGACACCAAAGCAGTTTCCATGAAATGGAATTCACCAACCAATATATCAAGTTCAGTAATGCAGTAAAACGGTAGCCAATCAGTAATACTATCAAAAGGGGTGAGGGCGGTCAAGTACACCCTCACCTTAATCAATTCCAATATCCAAGTAAGCTTTCAAGGCATCACATATACATTTAGCAAAGCCACATAGTAACAATTAAGTGAGTAGTATACTCACCAAGCAAGAAAATGATGTTTCATGCACTGCGGTCCAAAGTGCGTCGTGAACCACCGTTTCCTCCTAGAACACATAAATAAGTGCCATAAGACTCGTGAACGAGTCGCAAAACAACGCTAAATATAACCCCAATAGGGTTTCATATGCATAAATAAGCATCATTGGTAACCAGAAATTACAAAATAGCCTTAGCTTAAGCCTTGATAGGAAAATCGTGTTTGACCTTAAAATGCGGTAATGGCGTCAAATTCACTACGGTTATCGGATGGGGGTGTAAGACCCACAGTTTTGAAGCTAAGAAACAGGGCTACAACATTGTAGAAGGCCACTCAGTCCAAATCCTAGCACAACTAGGTCAAAAATGCAAGATACCAAATCCAGAACCGAAATTGCAGGTTCCCAAATCGCACTATGCTGTAATGAACACAACTCAGTCTATACAGGTCCAAATGACGAAATTCCAAAGGCATATGTTAGCTAAGACATCCAGCTACATTTCATCAGAAGACACCAACTTCAAAATCCAAACCAATTCCAGTCAAAACAAACGATTACAAGCGCAGTTTTCACATTCTGAGCAACCCTGGACAGCAACAGTAAAAACGACATAACTCACTCTACACAAATCCAAATGACTTGAAATTTTGTAGGCACTTCAAACTCATCAATACCTACAACTTTCATGTTTTAAACAAAGTCCAATTCGGCCTCTAACCCTATGATCTAAAACCGGACAGAATTAGGGAATTATGAACCCTAACTTTCCATTTTTCCATCCAAATCCAAAATTGATTGCATTTATCAACAATTCACACCTACTAGAGTCATTTTAAACCATTACCATTCATCATACAAGGCCACAACATCCCATTCATATTAAACCAGAAAATTCATCATAAAATGGAAAACTTCACCAAAACTCTTCAAATCAAGAAATAAATCACATATTCCATCACTCAAGTTACTTCTAAGCATAACATAAACATCATTAGGTGTAGTAGAGTGTTCTAGCATCACTTACCAAGTAACAAGAGAGATAGGGATTGTAGACACCTTGGCTCTTCAAAACAACTTCACTAGACCACTCACTATCACTAAAAGGGAAGATTTTATGGAGTAAAATGGATGTAAGCTAATGTTTTTGGGTGATTTGCACCAAGTAGAAGCTTGAAAGTTGATGGAGTTCTCTTCCTTTTGGAGCTTGAGAGGGCCGGCTATGGTGAAGAAAGAATGAGGAAATTTTAATGAATTTTGAAAATATTTAACCTTTGGTCAAAAAAGTCAAAAATGTGAATAGTAAACCATAAAGTCCAACCAACCACCAAGTGACACGTGGCACTCCATTAATGCATGTCAATCCTTTTCTTTTCCTCCCACATCAATCATATCACACACTCTACTTATCTCGTAACACCCGATAAAGTTTACACAGTATCCAAAACTTAACCTTATTGGCCGAATTTTTCCGAACTTTTCGCACTAGTGGGTCCCACGTCCAATATATATTCTTAATTTTCTAAAAAATTCTCCAATACTAGAAAAATCATCTAAAAACTATAATTACTCATAAAATCTACCAGAAAAATATTTCTAAGCCAGAAAATGCAAAAATTATGCAATTAAGGGGTAATAAACCCTAGGAAAAAATATTAGGGTTTTACGGGTTCTCACAGGGATTTTGAAAGTTAACTTGCCCTTCCAAAAACTTATGGGATAATTTCAGAAACCTCCCCTGAGATTTTTGACATTTACACTTACCTCCCCTGTGGTTTGAACAATTACACCGACCTCCCCTGAGGTTACTAATCCTTTACAAATTCAGTTCAAATGATTAAAATATTATTTTAGAGAGTGAAATTAGAATTTTGTACCTGATTTGTCCTTTGTGCCACATGTCCAATGAATGGCAAAGTATTACAAATTATTTAACAATTAATAAACTTTAACGAGCGTAGTTTATAGGCAAATACGTATTGCCTATTTAAAGTACCAACTCTTTACATGTATTTTACTTTCAAACATTTACTTTATCACACATATTTATTCTCAAATACAGATTTGTATTTACTCTCAAATATTTAATTTTTGTTAAACTCAAAACCTACCAGTTTTTCTTCCATAGAAATATTAATATAACATTTTTTCAATTTCAGTTACAAATATTTATGTATTTAACATAAATTAAATGATTCAGAATAAAATACTCATAAAGAGCTAATACTTTACTCATGTAATGGATGAAAGTCATAAAAAATTAACATTTTATAGGCCATTTCTTTTTTTTTTTAAATTTTAATTTATATTAAATAGATAACCTATCGATTTTCTTTTTACAAGAATATTATTGTAACACCTTTTAATTTTTAATTACAAATATTGATATATTTATTGTAAATTAAATATTTAAAAATAAAATACCTATAAAGAGCCAGTACTTTAAATAAGTTATGCGTATTTGCCTATAAACTACACTCCTTACTTAAATCAATAAACTACACTCCTTAACTTAAATCAATAAACTATACTCCTTATTTTAAATAGTGTAATTTATAGGCAAATACGCATATCCTATTTAAAGTATCGGCTCTTTACAAATATTTTATTTTCAAATATTTAATTTATGATAAATATATTAACATTTGTAACTAAAAATTTAAAAGTGTTAAAGTAATATTCTTGCAAAAAAAATCAGTAGGTTATCTATTTAATATAAATTAAATATTTTTAAAAAAATAAATGGCCTCATAAACTATTAATTTTTTATGACTTTCATCCATTACATGAGTAAAGTATTGGGTCTTTATGGATATTTTTATCCTAAATCATTTAATTTATGTTAAATACATAAATATTTATAACTAAAATTGAAAAAGCGTTATATTAATATTTCTACGGAAGAAAAACTGGTAGGTTTTGTGTTTAACAAAAATTAAATATTTGAGAGTAAATACAAATCTGTATTTGAGAATAAATATTTGTGATAAAGTAAATGTTTGAAAGTAAAATACATGTAAAGAGCTGGTACTTTAAATAGACAATATGTATTTGCCTATAAACTACGCTCGTTAAAGTTTATTAATTGTTAATTAATTTGTAATACTTTGCCATTCATTGGACATGTGGCACAAAGGACAAATCAGGTACAAAATTCTAATTTCACTCTTTAAAATAATATTTTAATCATTTGGACTGAATTTGTAAAGGATTAGTAACTTCAAGGGAGGTCAGTGTAATTGTTCAAACTACAGGGGAGGTAAGTATAAATGTTAGAAACCTCAAGGGAGATTTCTGAAATTATCCCAAAATTTTTTCCTCAGCATCGATGGGAGTGAAAAGGAATCACCGATCAGAAAGTCCAAAAAGTTGAACTCGTCAAATCTTCATCGTCGGAAAACGATTTAATAAGGGAGAATTTTAGATACCTCCCCTGGGGTTTCTTTCAGTCTCATTCCCCTCCCCTGTGATTTCAAAAATACAGTAACTTCCCCTAAAATTAAATAGGCAGTCTCAAAGTAGATCCAATTCAAAAACACAAATAATAAAAAAATGGGGAGCTGGAGAGAGGAACAACAAGATACCACAAATGCCCTTATTATCTTGCATTAATGAGCTAATCTCATATGAAGAAAAAGTAGGGAATTTAACAAGAATGAAACTTGAAGGGGTGTAAATGAAACTAATGCATAAAAGAAGGTCTGAACATCAGTAGAATGCAATGGAAGGCAACGGCTCTTTCTGGTAGTCTTTCTGGAAGAGGTTGCTTCACTACCAAATGCTGAAGCAATTGTATATGCACCTATGCCAGCTGCTGATGGTGTAAACTTGTCAGGACTGAAAATTCACCAGATGGATCTGCAAGTGAGCAATAACCAAGAAATAGAGGTGTTAATAAAATCTTCCCTCGTAGTAGAAAGTAGTCCAACTGAGAATTTTGTTCTTCCTCGTGTTAAGTTTGAAGATTCAAGTATAGGATATGTTAAGTTTCCGAAAACACCAAAACGTGAAAAGCAAAGGATTGCAGACAAAGAAGGAAACAAGTTGGTGGATACGGAAAAAGTAGCATATATATTGCACTTGAAAAATATAAAACATCAAAGCTTACGCGATGATTAAGTTCTTCCTCAGACGAACATATACCAGATCCCGTGTCTCTTCCTCCATGTAACTGGCCCAAAGCCTGCTGCAAGGGTTCCCTTTCCTTTTTCTTCTCATCTATCAAGTCCCTGTACTGCTTATTCTCTTTATTTAAACCCTTTAAGAAACCAATCTTTTGTGCTCGATCAGCCTGCAAAAGATGAACAGACTTGATTAGAATCTTATCTTCATTTAAAGATAAGAAGCATGCAAAAAAGATAACAATACCGTGACAAATTCATTGATGGATGCAAAAGAAAACACTAACCTTCAGTTTCCTTAGTTTTTCAATGAGCTGGGATCGGGCTTGATTCTTCTTCTGTAGCCCAGTGTCAGCCTGATCCAATTTGACTTTGAGTTTCTGATCTTCATGTAACCTATACTTTACAAAATAAAAAGAATGTATCTGCTTAGGTGCAGGCCATTCATCAACTGCATCCTTGGGGAAGTTGACTTCAGCAGCTTTATTTTTTTCCCCTTTCGCCGGTTCATCCATACCACGGGATCCAAATGTTATTGGTTCGCTAAGCCCCATTACGTTGCTTATTTTCCCATTTTCGTTCAACTAACTGTTTTCTTCACCTGCAGTTTCCCCAGAAACATGGGGCAACTTAGATTCCACAACTTCCACGCCCATTATTTCCACAGATGGTAAGCACACAAAAGTGCGTTAAAATCTCGAATCCTGACAATATGGGAACATAAGTTACCAAAGGAATGTTCACATTTTACAGGTATCAGACAAACAAGGGATTAGAGTCAAATTGTTTAGTGGAGGTATCATGTCAAAATCAATCATCTAAAAGTACCAACACCAATTAATAAGTGAAAATTGAAAAAGTTTTAATCCTAGCTTCCTTGCAAAAGATTTTTATCAATACAAAACACCCTTCCATTACAGGCACAGAACTGCCAAATTCTTTGAACCAGTTGACTCACAAGTTATTAACCTTAGTGGAAGCTTTAATATGGAAGAGGATAAAAGTGCTATGAATGCTTGCGAGGGTATTTAAGTCTTTTTTATCATGATGATGTAAGAAATGGGACCTAAAATTCTGATAGGGGAGGTTAGTGGTATTTTTGAAATTATAGGGGAGGGGAGTGAGACTGAAAGAAACCTCAGGGGAGGTATCTGAAATTATCCCATTTAATAAAGTCACATATATGCAATCAATGGGGAAAAAAAAGAACGCGGAGGACCAAAAGGGTCCCGCACAGAGACCATAAAGAGCAGCCCAGGACGTCTGAAAACACGGAATATGGAAGCCAGTTATATCCGGTGGTATGAAACAGTAGTAAAAGGAATCGGTGCATAAAAAGGCGAGTGCTTTCTATGTAGCCTTCTTTGTTTGATTATACAACTAAAAGGAATAAACTTTTCTTACAGAAAAAACTTTGTGCATTAAAAAGCGAGTGCTTAATATGAAAATTTTCTAAACTGACTTTTCATTCTTGTTGTTTATGTCACACACACTAATATGTATTAAATTTCTTTGCATATGTGTGCATATTTTGTCTAAATTTTTTTAAAGATTAATAGTTGAGCCTCAATTAGACAATGTGCAAAGAATGGTTAGCCAAACCCATAAACAAGCTACACATGTTGAGATGGTATATTGGATATATGAACCACTTTCGAGTAGAATTTTTTGGAACCATGAAGGATAGGTTAATCCACATTATAATTTTGTTCTGGCCTCCAGTAATTTATTTCTTTCTTATTTTTTTTTTCTGTTGGCTATGGGGCTGAAATGGTGAGAGCAAATTATCAATACCAAATTAACATAGTATTCGAGCTACTTGGGAAGTATAGTTGACTAAAGAAAATGCTTCAAATAAGATTCTAGAACCCACTAATTCTATAGTAAATACAATCTCAATAAAATGATAAAGTCCTTTGTGAAGTATTTATTTGTCCAATTAACTTTATTTTACTGGTCAAAAACTAACTATTAGATTTACCATATAATTAGTTTAGATCCACGTAAGATTTCTTCTTATTGTCCTATATGCTCATTTCAGAACACGGACAGTGAGTCCCAGGCGGCCTTATACCAGCCATTGGACGTGACTAGCAATAAACAATGTCGCATCCTGACACGAGTTCGTGCTCAACCTGTCAGCTGTGTCAAAGGCAAAGAAGTTAGGGATTAGGCGCAACTAGGGCTGCAAACGAGCCGAGCCGAGTCGAGCTTTGAGCTAATCGAGCCGAGCCTTAGCTAAATTTTATCAAGCTCGAGTTCGAGCTCGAGCTCGACGAGCTGGCAATTTTCGAGCTCGAGCTCGACTCGAATCAAGTCGAGCCGAGCTCGAGCTCGAGCTCGAGCTCGAAAAAAATAAAAAAAATTATTTTATTTTTTAAAAAAATAAATAAAATAATATTTTTTCTGAATAAATAATAAAATATTAAGGATATATCCGTAATTTCACTATGAAAATAAAAAATAAAAAATATATATATAATATACGTAATTTTATTATTAAATAAAAATAAAAATAAAAAAATATATATATATTCAAGCTCGCGAGCCGGCTCGCGAGCTAACGAGCTTAATATTTTGAGCTCGAGTTCGAGCTCGAGTTTGACTCGAGCTGGCTCGAGCTCGACTCGAGCTCGATTAATGTCGAGCTCGACTCGAGCTCGATTAATGTCGAGCTCGACTCGAGCTTGACTCGAGCCGCTCGCGAGCGGCTCGCGAGCGGCTCGATTCGTTTGCAGCCCTAGGCGCAACACAAGTCTCAATTCAAATCAGTTTATCTATCTCTGAGTGTGAATAGGTAGAGGAATGGTGTAAATAAATTTAAGATGTGAAGACACATAATTAAGGACAAAAAGATGGGGGATTTTTTGTTTTCGGATAAAGGGGGGAGATCGATTATTGAAAAAATGAAGCTCAAATTCGCTACAACTATTATATATTTAATCCTGCAACCTTTATGAAATGTAAAATTAATTACTAAACTAAAGTAACAATTTTTTTTTTTTTGAAAAATTGTTATATTTTCGATAAACATATTTTTCAATCACATTTTTTTTTTACATATATCAAATTATTACAGTAATTTTTAAAAAAAATTTAAAAAAAATGCAATCCAAACAAATAAATATATGCTATTCGTTTTAGCAAAGGTAGTACTTGCCCTTGGCAAGTAAACAAAGCTTTGATGAATGACTAATTAATAAGACAGTATAGTATATACTCTAATACTCCTGCTGTACCAGTAAACTAGTCAAGTTGTCAGAGCCGGGTGTGAAATAGGAAAAAAAAAAAAAGGCTGGCTGGAATCTTGGATATAAGGACACTTTTTGTCTGCAACCACTTCACACTCTCTAGTCCCTCTTCTAAAACTTCATCTCCCCTGCTCCAGAGAACGGAGAGGCGACAGCTTTCATACAGTAAAATAGCTAGGGACACTGTTTTTGTGTGCCAAGAGAGAGAGAGAGAAGTAAAGAAGAGAAGATGATTTGGAGCTCAAGAAGTTGCAAAAGGGTCTTTGTTTTTGTGGTTCTTTTAGCATCCTCAGCTGCTGTTGCACTGATTGAAGATGGTAAGCTCTCTCTCTCTCTCTCTCTCTCTCTCTCTAATCTTTGTTTCTCTACTCTTGTACTTTGGTGGTTAATTTTTTAGCTTTAATCTCTTCTATAGAGATTATTGACTGACAAGGCTGATTTTTTTGTGCTTTATTCTTGGTGGATTCTGCTGGTTGTATATGCTTTTGAGATCTAATCAAGGATATGCTATCTTTGTTTATCAATCTTTAGTTATGCTTTTTATTCCTAGTTTTATATGTCTAAAATGCAATGCGACCTTGCTGTTGGAACCCTAAATTGCCTTCAGAATTGGTATTTTTACCGATGTGTCTTCTTGTCTGCCATTCTTTTTTGAGAAATGAAAGGACTAGCTTTCTACAAGTAGAAAGAGGAATGCTTCATTATGTTCACTTTTCTCGTGTTAGTAACAAGTCGGGTGGGAGAAAAAGAGGAGAAGAGAGGGCGCCGAGGGAGGAGGGTTTGTAATTATGAACTGATTAAAGGAACATATATGGGTGAAAATCGAAGTCTGTGCCACAAATTATTTTCACTACTCTTACAAGTTACAGTGCCAATTAAATTGTGGACACTTTTGAAACTTTAGATTCGATTTTGCTTACTATGGAATGTAACCAAAGTTAAATAATTCAAGAAATCTGGCACAAAACCATCAGCGAAATTCTGTGTCAGAGCCTTAATTATTAAAATTTACTAGTGACACTAATTGGTACAGATACTTTCATCATTTTGTATATCGTGATAATTTACGGTGAATGTAGGTAATAAGTTACTATATCCTAGGTGTTACTTTCGACCTGGGCTTCATCAAATCAAAGTATGAATAATGATATGATATAGCTGGAAAATTCAAAAGAAACTTGGGTGTATGTTGGGGCCCAAGTATTTTTGGAGGTCAGATTTTAGTCAAAAAGTTAAGAGAAGCTGTTTATAATATGCGTCATTAGATCCTTAAAGTTTATGCTTATGCAGCAGCACAATTTAGATGCTACTTCTAGCATTTTTTTTGGGACATTTGACTCTAATTTTCACCAAATCTATGTATGTATAGAAAGTAACCGTAAAAAAAACATAGGTGTTTTAGGATATCGGGTTATGTTATTTCAAGATCGAGGCCTCTCAAAACGATTTTTGTCCACTTCAGTCGGCAAAACTTTGATTTAATTGTAAAGCTTGTTAACTAATATAACTTAGTGGTGTAAAAGTTACTATTGCATCAAACTTAAAAAACAAAAAAAAAAATCCGTCTGATAAAAAAAAGATCAAACTTGAATGAATTTATATTAAATAGGACAAAATGCCCCAATGACGCTCAAGCTATTATGAAATTCAATTTTTGGCTCTCGAACTATTAACTGATAAGTTTTAACCTGTCAACTAATTAAAACATATAATTCTAGTTCTTCTGTCAGCTTGAATCGTTATATCTAACAGAAATAAAGGATTCATGAGATGCTAGTGATTCTCAAACTATTATAAATCCAACTTTTGATCCTCCAATTATTAGCTGATAATTTCTAACCCTCTAACTAATTAAAACGTAGAATTCTATCTTTTCCGTCAACTTGAGTCGTTATATCGAGTAGAAATATCTATTGATAAAGAATTTTGAATGTGCCCAACCAAGTGTTTGACAAATCAAAAAGCTTTAGATATAGTGATGTAAAATTTGGAGGAATCTCATTAGAGAATTGATTATTTGAGAGAATTAGAGAGTTCAAACTTGGAAGAACCAAGACTTGTTGGAATATTCCTAAAAAATGAATTGTATGCCAGATTTATGTCATTAAGAGAAGCACATAAATCCAATGAATTTGGAGCAACGCCGAAAAATGAGTTAAATTCCAAATAAAAACAACTCGATTAATTTAAGTTACCTATCCTTGCTAAAATATCTCTATTAGGGATTTTGCGTTTTAGGTTTTCAATTAATTTTGGTCAAGTTCAGCAATTGGATGATAAATTAGTTTATAAGTCAAATTGGAGTAAAACAATTTTACCCCGACACATGTTCTATAAAGACAAAAACACCCCTAGGTTTTACCTTTACTGTGCATGTGGTGATGTTTTTGTTCGACATAACGATTTAAATTGAGGAAGTGTTAGAATTATATATTTTAGTTAGTTGGAAGG